TCTTGAAACTGGTTAATGAGCTCGGAAACTTTCGATTCTGTTTCCGGAAGATTCAACACAGATTGAAGCTGCCGCATATGAATACCGACTGGAAGAATCTTGATGCTAACTGTTCGCCCGTAATACTCCAAACTGATATAACCTCGTTTTGATTCATAGGAAATCCCCAATAAACGACTACAGCAAGAGAGAAAATGGCGGGCATAATCGAATGTATGGAACCCGATTAGATCCGAATTCAAGAGAGCTCGGAGAAGCTCTTCTCGAACAGGTAACGTCTTATAAATCTCGGATGAAGGAAAAGGGGAATGCAAGAAAAACCCGAGTTTGACCCGATTGAATCTCTTCCTCAAGAAGGTTGGTAACACCATTAGATGGTAATCGTGGATCCAAACGAAATCATCTTCTGGGTTTATCACCTCCATGATTCTATCAGCAAAAATCTTGTTAACAGAAACATAAGCTTGCCATAAAGATCGATTAAACCTGCCACCAAGATCCGGCGACAATGGCAGCATATAATGGAACAGCGGCCATAAGTGTTGTTTACAGAATCCATGATAGAATCTTGTAAACAATTCGGGTGGCAAAAAGGTAGGAACGCATTTGAAAGTTTCGAGAAGGGTTTGAGAAACTTCATCTTGTTCATTGGGATGAATCTCTTCTTTTAAACAACCAACATAGATCACATCGACTTCATCGTCACCTAATCCATCTTTCAGTTGAAGAAGAAGTGAATTCTCATCCCAACTGAAAGTCCAACCTCTGGAACCATCGGTTTTCCGGTGAGCTTTAATCGGCAGCTGGTTAGCTACTATGATCAAACGGTCGTGCTGGATTGATGAAGAAGATAAATCATCTGATGGGTCATCATCCAGATCGGAAATTATTCCGGCAACCGTCATAATACGGGGCATTTGGCGTGTCATACGGGTAAAAGACGGCGACGGAAGCTCACCGGAGGCGAGATCTAATAAGTTTGAGTATGATCTTGACACCATTTTCAGCTACACCAAACACTATTTAGTAAAATTAACAAATATAAAACAAACTCAAATCATCAGGAAATCAATACTTCCTACCAAAAAACCTAACTCAAATCATCAACATAGAAAACCCAAAAAAGGGGGAAATCTTATCAAGAAACTAACTTACAGTTCATAAAGCAAAAGAGGATTAAAACAAATTACCTAGAGGAGCAGAAGCAGATACACAGAAGCAAATTTCAATAATTATGAAACAGTTGGGTAAAAGGGGATGAAAAATTTCTTGGATAAAGTTTGAATTTCTGACAACTTGATGTAAATGAAACCCTAGAAGATTATAGATCAGCAGAAGCGAAGTAATCTACCCACATGGTAAAGATAGGAGGTAGAGTTATATATCTTGTTGGGTATCATTAATTACGTCAAATAAAAACAAAACCCAGATGAGGAATTTTCAAGAAAAGTTGGAGAAATTTACCAGGTTGTTTTTTTTCTGTTTTCTTTCAATCGGTAAAAAGAAACCCTAGACGAAAGTGTAAAATGGTCTTTAATGGAACTTGTTTATATGCAACTGCTTTTGGTTAGTGGAATGCTTGGAATTGGGAAACTTGGTTCAAAATGGTCCCTCGAAGCCTCATAACCTACAATTTTTTCAGTCCATCAAATTCTAATTTTGCAATTTCTTTTAGTTGTTGATTGAAATCTTTCGTTTTTCTGATTACTCTTTTTATTACTTATTATCAAGACGTGTAAAATGGTCTCATCTAAGAAGTATTTGCTCCAAAGGGCGGAAAACGTCCTCAGTTGCCGTTAAAAACGATAGTGGGAAGTCTGGAACAACGGGTAAAGTTTGAACCAACAATATCACATGAACCAATAATAAGATTTGATTTTTTAGTATTGACATGTTGTTATAACTCTATGGGGTATGAATCCGATCGACAGGTATATCTTATAAAACGAGGGTTCCCCAACCTTTTCTCCAGCAAGATAGAGAAGAAGAGCCTGAAGTCAGCCAAGGAGTTGAGTAATGTGCCAACACTACTTTAATTGAGTGTCGGCACTTAGTTGTGCACTCAGTAAGAAGCTAGGCAGTTTGTCCTTTTTCCGGCTGCAAACATCACTCAGTTATCTATGCTATTCACTTAACTGTATGATTGCAATTTCCTCTCTCTATCTCCTTGACATTTGTATTGTCCACATCAGTCATTGATAAAACTAAGATATTTCAACAGATTGTAAGTCTTAAATTGTATGCTACTAATAACTTACATTATAGCTTTAAGGGAACAATTCGATGAACACCATTGCACTAATCAATTTTATAATACATTTGGGTACCCTTTCAATTGAGAAGTTTATAAAACTAAGGGCTCGTTTACCGGGTAAGCGTTTATCAAGCAACATTACCTCACCGCTTGAATATGGTAAAGATCAAGAATTTTATCCGGTAAGAGCGAGACAAGAACCAAGAGTCTTACTCGGTAAGTAAAGCCGACGACTCTTACCACGGTAAGCGCTTACCGGGTAAATTGTTGCATACGATGTTGTTTTGGTGGATTAAAATCACCCGGTAAGTAAATAATAGTGTTAAATTTTACCGGTAAACACTTACCCGGTAAGTGTTTGGTAAATGGCCCCTAAGCTTTGTTATAAAAGTCATTTTTAATGAAGACGAACTGATCTTTTAATATACCTGTAAAAGGTGGTCATGGAAGGTTTGTAGGTAATAATGAAGACGGTGCGGTGAATGGGCAAAGAATGCGCCATCCCCAACCCCTCAGTCCCCGATGCACTTTCGTCACTGTCTTTTCTCATTCCCAGTGAATTCAGAGTGAAAGAATATTAGACCCTCTTATTAGAGGCAGAATTAGTAAAATTTTCGAGTAGGAGCACTAATAATTAGAATAATATAAAATAAAATAAAGATTAGTTATAACAGTACCATTTGATTAAAAATGACGTACAATTGTTTTTTTTTTCTTCTGCTGTTACCAAAAAATTAAATAAAGGGTCAAAAAAATTCAAATACAAAGTTTAATTTGACATCTAATAAACACTACCAATAAGCTATGGTTATTTTTTTGTTAACTTAGGGAAACCTTCTTTTGAGAATCTATGAAATTGTTATAACTTTTAAAACTTATGTATCATGTGTTATTTTGTATGATTTTTTTCATCCAAAACTATGATTTAGAATATTGATTAACATATATTTGTTTCACAATATGAACATTTTTACGTGTTTGTGAAACAAAAATTACATGTAAAAAAGTTTCATATTGTAAACTGAATACATATAAAACAATTATATGTTAATTAATACACTAAATACTATACAGACAAAAAAATTATATAAACAAAACCTTAAGATAATTTTTTTTATAGATCTCACAGATTTCAAAACGAACAAATAATTAAGCCTTTGTATATACCATTTTTGACCTTCTTAAATTCCCCCTTATCTCTATTTATAGCTCATATAAATACAATTAATTTGAATGCCATTAATTGGTCTATGTGTTAAGCATGCCATTAGCCATTAGCCATTAGCCATTAGCCATTAGCCATCACATATTTTCCAATTCCCATTTGCCTTTGAACTTGTTGTTCTCTTATTGGATTGAAGAAAAAATATACTTAATTAAGGAATTTTTATTGTAATTTAATTGGAGAAAAGAAAAGGCAATCATTAAACTCACCTTATCTGCTTTTCTATGTTTGATTGGTTGATATTAACAAATGCTTTTTTTTATTAATCCAAATATCAAACCTGTTATATGAGTTGTTTAATTTTATGACGACCATTTGTTTTACAGATGGTTTGAAGTCATCGTATTTGAATCTTTGTGGCTATAAAGAGATTTTTATTTTTCTTTGGATTTGAACTTGTGACCTCCTGGTATTTTTGATCTTTGGAACCAAGCTCAAACCAATCAGATACCACTCTTATGATTGTTAACAAGCTTTTTATCTTCATAAAAATTATATAGCTTAAAATAAGATTATCATTCTGTAATAATTACTGAGTATATAAATTTAGAGGCTATTTATTATATTTTTAAAAAAATAAATATTTATAATATAATAACGACCAAGAAGATAAAAAAAGAATAATTTTTACCTGATAAATACAAATACACTTAGCAATAATCCGATTGGATGGCCAAACACACTCTAAAGTTATGTATTTTTATAAATGGGATATTTATTTTAAGAGATATATTTTAAAAAAAAACAGCTCACTTAGTGATGTCAACCTTATGGATAAGCCTATGAAAGTGGGTTCACGTGGGATGCTCCTGAAACGCCACGCGACTACAAATCTCAAAACAACCCACTTGCTTATATTCCCATTTTTTTTTATCTCTATCGTATTCATCTTTAGATTGGTTCGGGTAACAAAGAGAATTATTGTGGAATAAAAATTTAGGAGTTATCAGTTTTAAATCTGAGAAGAAATAAAAAAAAAATTGTGACTATGGAGGTTTAAATGGCAGATGGTCGTTTTAGAATTAATCGACTCGCATAATAGATTGGATATTCAGGTTAATAAAAAAAAGAATTATTGTAAAAATAACAAGAAAGGATTTTATAATTGGAGAGTTTTATTAGTTTAACATTAATGTCAAATATTGGATTAATTTTTTTCTAAAATGTAAATAATAAGTTGGTTTGATATAGGGATTGACTAATACATCTCATCTTGCCACATTTCATTCTAACGTGTATCCAAAAATGATGATCTCTTTTTACATTTCTTATTTTGACTTTCTTTTTTACGAAAACTCAACCCTTGAAATAAAAAATGTACAGGTGATCAAAAATACAAATCTTTTTTTACGGTTCTCACTTTAATTCCTATTCATACATGATATTTTATTGTTATGATAAAATTATTTTTATATTAAAAAATCGTATCAAACATAAAAACATCTAAATAAGAAAATAAAATATAAAGTATACATGATTTATTGGAAAACATTTATATAATAAAGAGAGATTATAAATATTAAAATAGTAAAAATACGAGATTTGAGCAATCTTCAATTTACAAAAATACAAATGGTAGCCATAAATGTGTAAATAAAAGGTTCAAAAAATTTATCAACATTCGACTCCTTAACAATTTTCATAAATGGAAGCCTTCTTTTCCTTCAAGTGCTGCTACTCCCCCTTCTCTGAACTGGTTTATACAGTACAACATTCACGTACTTGGATCGAAACCGATGGGAGAAACCGAGTGCCACCACCGTACGTGGGGACTCTCGGTTTTCGATGTACAGATGATTCAGGACCACGTGTTGCGGGTCCGGAAGTGGGGCACACGGCCCCCCAGTTGTCGGGCAGCTCAGTACGGTGTGTTGCAAGTGTTGTGGAACCACGGGCGGGTCCCGCCCGTCATCTTCGCTCGCCGTATACACGTTGTTGTAACTTGCATCAGGTGATCTCGGGACTTCAAAACCAGCCACAACCGGTGTTTCCTGCACAATCATTATATGGTATGGTCTTCGTGAACGGATTTTTTGTTTTGATATTTACCAAGATACCCCCAAGGGTTCGGAAACTTACTTGATCTTGACCACGAGAATTGCTCATATTGAAGACGAAATGCAGACTGAATTAGTATTCCAAATCATTAAAAGACGGCTTATCCTGAAGTTTATTTTGATGTTCCTGCAGCCAAAAAGAATTCACCAAAGGTCATTTAGGTGCTTTTTGGGGACAGTTCAATCGTTTTCATTCAGCACATATAAATGAAAGCAACAACAAAAAGTGGCTTGAGCAAAAAACAAAAGATGCATCCAAGAGATTTGGAAGATCGCTCTCGCCTCAAACATCCGCATGGCATGATAAGATCGGTATCAAACAAAGTTAAACAAATATAGACCTTCCAAAAATGTAACTGGTCCCGATATTTTGGACCAGGCTACCAAGTTCGGCAGCTAATATTTGTGCAGCACTACAAGTGAAGGCATTTATTGATGGCGACTAATTTTTTTCCCCATTTTGAGTTAACTAAGTAGAAGATGGTCCCATCTAATTTCTTTTCGGTGATATCGATTTGAAATGCTTAAAAGTATACCAAGCCAACACCGACATCTTTTTCCAATCATCCAATCAAAAAAGAAAGACTCTAGGTTCGTCCGAGCCTGAGTCAAAGACTTCGAAATTCCACTCTCCTCTGTCTCGCTCAAGTGAATTCGTACTTAACATAGTTCTCTAATAAATCAGCCCAACAGACCAAACCCCCACCAATAACTAAGATTGCTGGACCGAACCCCCACCAATAACTAAGATTGCTCGAAGAAGATTCACTCGCTTTTCAACCATTAGTCCGAAATTAATCTATATAGCTCTTTTTTTTTTTGCCTCTTGGAAGCACCATCCCTATTTTTTTAAGAAAACCACGGAAAACACGACTTATTTGAGCAGATCTTGCCCCCTTGTCCACCCCAGAAGGGAACTTTTCTCTAAAACGAAGAGAAAGGAACAGCACCGTGGGTGGGAGTGCTTGGTCGCCGGGCTTTCCTTTCGAGACAAAGGAATAAAAAAGACTTTCTCTATTCTTCAGCTAAAACGTGCTTAAGCACGATAAGTTTTTATGGTTGGTCTTTGGATATATAAGTTCATGCTTCATACTTTTTTTTTTCTTCTTATTATCAGTTTCTTCAACTTTCTTTGTTTCTAATGATCCTCATGTACTAATGTTCTTTCTATTCCTTTTCTTTTGAAACTATAAATCAACTCAAACACCCATTACGCCAAAGACCTTATTCGTTATTATTCCCTATTGAATCGGCCTCTAGGCCTTCTCCTAGGATCAAGTTAAAATTTGTACTTCCATGAGCCTCTGATCCTATATCCCTTATTATCACATCCTTATTTGCACAGATCCCATTCCACCATTTATATCCTCAAGCCATCAATTCTCACTAATCCATATTCGCCATCAGCTACATTAGGGCTCTCTCACCAAAAACCATGTACAAGATTTCTTGGGAAATCCTCTCCCAAATGAAGTGAGAATGGATCCTTTTCCTTTTTAATGATAGTTACCAAAAATGATGAAGATAGAACAAATTTGAGGGTGTCATGCTAAAAAATAGTAAACAGAGTTCAGTAAATATTTGCACATACTAGATGTAAAGTGGATGCTCCCTCTCTTGCGTCCATTTGGTTTATTTACTTTAATCCGCATTACTGCAGACATTATATGTGTTGATATTTCCTTACACAAAAGTTTTAAATAAATAAAGTCACAAGAGGTGGTATTTGAGCTATATGTCATTTTCATATATTATTTCAACGTCTGTAAGATCTAAAAGTTATCATAGTTTGGAGAGATTTGATGCTAGGAAGAACTTTACAGTTGGCATAAACGAATGACACACAAGGTCGACAAGGCTAAAATAAAGCATTAAAGCATGAAAGGAAAGGAAGGAAACCAGAGAAAGATTAAACCACCACGGAGACATGTTAATGTGCAGAGCTCAATCTTGCTGATAACATTATCAATGATGTTATCACTGAAGATTCAGTGATTCAGCAACTGTTTCAGAAACACAATAAAGCAAAGATTGACCTCAAAGATACGTCTGAAACGTAAACTGTATGTGCCAAAGGGGGAGGTGAGACTATACAAGGAATTAACCATTTCTCCACCCACATTCATGTTGGCGTAATTGCAAACTTATGTAAAATTAAGGAGTTCAAACTTAGATCTTTCATGAGGAAATCAGCTGCGACCAAACTGAACACAAATCCCATGCTTAAAAGTGAGATGAAATTGTCTAAACCTCAACACTTGTAAGTGTGCTGAAGATGCCTTAAACTACACACCCAAAATTGTGGTGAAATTGTCTACGTATCCACACCTAAACTCAAATGCAAAGACAACATATGGTATCAGCCATCAGGGCTTAACAATCTAAAAGCAGAATTGGAATTTAAATGGATACTTTTCGTTTGATGCCCTACCATTATGTGATGGAAGATAATGCTACAATTCTAAAGTTAGCTGTTGACTGTTGGAAGAGATTGCCACTATCCCAATATCACGAAAGTGCGTATATGATAACAGTAACAAGAAATTTGATAGCATTCTCATACATTACAAAATTTCCACTAGGTTTAGATGATTAGATCCTTCTCTTTTTTTCCTCCTATCAAGACTAAACAACAAAACTTGGCCTTTGGATCATGCATTATGCATATGGACATTTGAATGATTGATATTAAGTTGTTTTCATGTCACAATCAAAAACTTACCACTCTTGTATCCCACACAAAATTTTCAGTCAGTCAGTGTACCAACCACACTTATCCACAATCACTTTTTGGTCAAAAACCCATCCAAAGAATTTGCCACCAACATCCCACTATCGATTGGAGGATCCAACCGTTGAATATAGAAACCCACTTTCCACGGACCGTGGGATTTCCAGTTCATAGTTGGCTCTCGCAAACACATTGCATACATATAAATCATCATAGTTCAGTATCTGTCTGAAAGAAAATTATCTTTTAAAAAATTACGTAATTAAATAATCCCACCATTCACACAATGAGAATCGCAAGTAACTTTCGAGCTTGAGATAAGTCGAGATAGACATTAGAAAAATTGAGCCAAACTTCAAATAGATAATTACAAATTCTACACGAGAAAATCTATGTTTCTAATAATCTAACATAAATTCACGAAAAAAAATACTGGATTTCGATTTTCACAACAAAAACGGGGCTGCCATTCGACGTAGAGAGTCTAATTGATCCTATATGCCTCTATCCCAATTAGATATCCTCAAATTTCAAAACTTTAGTATCTATATGAGATCCGAGAAACACAAACCATTCGAAATAATAACGAATTTACAATTTTTAAAAACGAGATAAAATTAAAACCAATATAACGAGATGGAGATATCGAACGAACCTCTTGCAGCAATGATTGTTAGATTAGGCGTCATTCGCATCATCCATCATTATCATGGAAATCTCACTTGCGGAATCAAGAAAATTTTCAACGATTACTGAAACCCTAAAATTCGCAAAGAAAACAAAGGGCGAGGAGAAGATGATGAAACACAGGGCGAAGAGAAAGGAGACCAGAAGGAGGCTGGCTTTTTAACGAACCATGTCTTAAGCCAGATTCTAAATGGGCCATCCCAAAGGCCCAAAATGAAAGCCTATTATTCATGAGTCCATTACCTATCTTTATTTTGTACCACGAGAATTGAGTATTTTTAAATGGTGGAATTGTAATAAGAATGGTAAATTGGATGTGTTTATATTAATTCATGGAGTTTGACTCATACAGTTGTCTTATTTTGGATTTATTTCTTTGAAATCTATAAACATGGTCGGAATCAAAACCAATCAAATGATAAAAATTATAGTGCAAAATCATCATCAGTCATCAATATATCAATAAAAAAAGAAAGCTAAACCACTGAATTTAAAAGAGACCTCCATTGAAGTTTATCTTTTTTTTTTCTCGGCGGTGGTTGTAGGTGGTCGACGGTGGTTTCGATCAGCAGTGATCGACGATGATTCAGATTGATGGTGGTCCGCGATGGTTCAGATGACGGTGGTCGACAGTTGATTCAAATCGGTGGTGATCCATGGTGGTTCAGATCGGCGGTGCCCAACGATAGTTCATATTGGTGGTGATTGACGGTGGTTCAGATTAGCGGTGGCCAGTGGTGATTCAAATCAGTGGTAGTTGGTAATGGTTTAGATCGATCATGGTCCATGATGATTTAAATGGAGTGGTCGACAGTGGTTCAGAACTGTGGTGGTCCATAGCGGTTCAAATGGTGGTGATGGACAATGGTTCAGATCAATGATGATCGGCGGTGGTGCCCAATAGTGGTTCGTATCAGCACTAGCCAACAGTGATTCAAATACATGGTGGTCAACGGTGGAATTTGGAATTTGTAAGATTTTGAATACTACTTTCGTAAAAAAGAATGAATCAAACGAAAAAAAAATGTTATTTAATCAATGAAATTCAAAATTCCAATTCCATCATATTTTTTTAGAATCTGCAAATAAAGTTGAATTTTTTTTCCCATTAAGTTTGGTGTAGGTTAATCTGTCTGAATAAATTTATATGCCAGAAGAAGATATGATCAAGTTTGAACGAGGCAAAGTGACATGGCTTGATTATTTCAATGACTTTCCGGTATTAATTTGTGTGAAAGGGGTTAATGAGAACAAGTGTAGCAATTTTGACTTGATGTCTTAACTATTAAGTTGTTAAAAGAACACTAGAATGACAATCGAATTTTCTTTCAAGGGTGTTGTATATGAATCCAAACACTATTAAATGACAATATTATTTACTTTTAAGGGTGTTGTTATACGCATCCGTTTTATGTCAAAATCTCTTTCAAGAATGTTGTAATATGCATCCTTTTATGTCTAAGGGGTTGTTTGTTTACCTCTTAACAGTTCCATTAAGAGGCAACATCTGAATCGTTAAGAGGTGAATCTTGTTTGGCAAAAAAAAATCTGCCTCCTAATGGTTCTATAACACTCTGAATGATTTTGTATCATGCATCTTCCTTAACCATTAAGAGCGCTAATTTCATTGTACATAATTCCCAAACAACTGTATTTTATTTTGCAATATATCATGAGAGCCTCTTAATCATTATGACCACTTAATCATTCTGCACCAAACCATTCAGCAATTGCCAAACAGCCCCTAAATTAAGTGAAAATGCAAACGTTAGGTCAGGATATTGATGTTTATAAGAAGGAAATTAGTATTTAGGGTGCACTTTACAATATATATATATGAAGTTTGTTTCTATATTACATTTCTTATTTTGCCAAATAAAAGATTGACAGACCTTGAAAATCACCATCAAACCCAAATGAAATCTCGCATAAATCATTGTTTGTTGTGTTTTCAAGCTGCTAGTGGAAACAAAAGTTTGGGCTACGTTCCATTTGTTCATTGTCTAATGGACATTTTCGTTCTAATACTTTATCCGAGTTTTATCAGTTGTTTATGGTTCTCTAAAACTAAAGTCAAAACTTATACAAAACTTTTGTATTGGAGATGCTCTAAAACTGACATGTGATATAATTTATATTTTATCATTAAAAGCATCTCCAATCATCCGATAGATGACTAAATTTACCGGTCATCATCTTCCACCCGATCGGCAATTTTGGTTTTGTTTTGCTGGCCAACATATATAGACGAAATGTATGTTGGGTCTCTTTGCACGGCAAAAAGGTGGGGATCACCCCCATTTTCAATTAGATAATATAAATTAACACACACACACACACATATATATATATATATATACTATATTATAATGTATTTGACTAAAACTCTTAAAAACTCTTAAACTCTTAAAACTCTTAAACCCGTTCATCCCTATCTGATTTCATCCCATAACTGAATTCGTGTAA